CAGGTATAATGGGTTAAAAAAAAGAAACTCATCCAACCATCAGAGAGCCAGTAGAGAGAAGTTCATGGCCGGAGACGAGAATCATCTTAAAGGACAACCTTAAAAAAAAAAACGTTCATTTTTTTTATCTATAATAAAAAAATGCATTATTTTTAAGGACGGGGGAGGTGTGTTGTTGCTGCGATGGACTTTTTAAACGAATGTACTGGATTTACTCTTCCTCAGATTAAATCTAACCCCCCCCCCCCTCCTTCCTTTCCCCGGGCACTGCATCGCCTTTAGGGTTTAGCGCTTCCGCCACGAGTATAATACCCGTAATGTGACGGATGAATTTATAACTTGCAATAAAGCAATATTCAGTAGTCAGCTTGTTCTGATTAACAATATATCCCAGAAATTCTGATAAATTATTTTTTAACATTCTTTTCGTCCAGGATGCATAACACTACGTAATCCATTCGGATTTAGCGCTTTCTTTTGAATCCATTAATAACAAAAACACCAGCAAACAATAACAGTAATATAATAAAAATAAAATATAATAATAATAATAATAATAATAATAATAATAAAAATAATAATAATAATAATAATAATAATAATAATAATAATAATAATAATAATAAAAATAATAATATAATAATAATAATAATAATAATAATAATAATAATAATAAAAATAATTAATAATAATAATAATAATAATAATAATAATAATAATAATAATAATAATAATAATAATAATAATATGCTATTACGATAAATACTCTGTCTTGGCTTAATTAATTTCGTCTAGTTCATAATTATAGCGTCTTCAGTTAACAATCGATCAATGTTGGGTCGGTCCTAGAACAGCTGGAGACGACGGTCATGTTTCTTTACACCTGTTGCTCCTGTTAACCATTATGATTCTGGAAAGACCGCGGCTCACACAAGTTACAAGACTTTTTTTGGAGGGGGATGACTCTGCTACTCGAACACAATTCTCAACTGTGCCAGGTATTCCTCTTGCTGTCTCTGTACAGACGTTTACATCGTGTTGACATTAAGATAGTCTATGATATTCTTGAGCAAGAGTTGATGCCAATGTGATCGAAAATTTATTTGATGCTAATACCTACTAAATCTGGAGCAAAATCATTGCAACAGTCATTGCCATCTATAATGAAACGAATTTTTCTCATACTGTGGACAAAGTCATCTGTCTGATTTTTTGGGGGTTATCCTAGGTATTTTACACATATGCTGCTGTGTATGATAATCTATGTACCTGTATTTGTGTATACCTGAATAAACTTACTTACCTTCCTTGTGACGGTGGGTTTGTCGAAGACTCTCAGTAACACGCTGAAAGTTTCCGACAACCTCACATTCAGCAAAAGCTGATTAACCAAGAGAAACATTATCTCAATGTAAATTTCCGTTCCGTCATGTCTTATTGCCGTCAAATGTGGTTAAGCGAATGGGTACTGAAATATCTGTCTTGCTGGCAGTTTCAAACTATTAGAAGAACTAATATACAAATAACCCGCACATAGAAGAGAGAAGCTTACGACGACGTTTCGGTCCGACATGGACCATTTCCAAAGTCACACAAAGTCACAGTGTGACTTTGTAAATGGCCCAAGTCGGACCGAAACGTCGTCGTAAGCTTCTCTCTTCTATGTGTGGGTTATTTGTGTATCGTTCCAATCACGGTATTGTGCCTTTTTTTGTTAGTTAGAAGAACTAATGTCTTGAATTTTGACCCATTTCAGAGCAATTTACAATAAAAAAAACTATATTTATCACATTTCAAATAAGAGAAACACTGGATATTTTATAGCATTCAATACTTTTAATATGCTTTAGAAAAGGTATTGGGTATCTAAAAAAACTATAGCTGCATTTTCAACTTCATACTTTTTTTAATAAGAGACAATGAAAGGCGTAGAATGAGTGAAGAAATGAGAGAGTTGTACTAGTGTTTGTCAGGTATAAATTACAGACATTAATATGGTGGTGAGGATAATAAAAAAACAAAGAACTCAAAACAATGGACTCAGGTGGATTTAATAAAGATTCAGAAAGGATATAGAAAAATATTGGTTTAATAATAGAGGTGAGAGTTGGACAAGCAAATAGTGTCGTTGAAGCTAATGCCTTAGGTAGCTTATTACACAAAAATATCAGTGGGTATGCACAAGTGTAGTTTGGATATATAAGACGAAATCAGATTGGGTATTGGTCATTAGTAGCATTCCAAACGACTCAGTTTTGGGCCCCTTGTCGCCTACTTCCTAGATATGTGTTGGTTAATAACGAATTAAAAGTCAATAAAGAATCGCACTTGATTCCATTTGTGTCTCGTTTTCCAGTGTGTCAGTATTTTTTTAACATTACTCTTCACAGACAAATTGATATTGTGCGCTTCTGGGGTAAGACATCCGGTGATTCACTCAGGGAGAAAGACCTTGGGGTGACCATAACACCGAGCACATCACCGAAGGCACACATCAACCAAATAACCGCTGCAGCATACGGGCGCCTGGCAAACCTGAGAATAGCGTTCCGATACCTTAATAAGGAATCGTTCAAGACACTGTACACTGTGTATGTTAGGCCCATACTGGAGTATGCAGCACCAGTCTGGAACCCACACCTGGTCAAGCACGTCAAGAAGTTAGAGAAAGTACAAAGGTTTGCAACAAGGCTAGTCCCAGAGCTCAAGGGAATGTCGTACGAGGAAAGGTTAAGGGAAATCGGACTGACGACACTGGAGGACAGAAGGGTCAGGGGAGACATGATAACGACATACAAGATACTGCGGGGAATAGCAAGGTGGACAGAGATAGGATGTTCCAGAGAGGGGACACAGGGACAAGGGGTCACAACTGGAAGCTGAAGACTCAGACGAGTCACAGGGACGTTAGGAAGTATTTCTTCAATCATAGAGTTGTCAGCAAGTGGAATAGCCTAGCAAGTGAAGTAGTGGAGGCAGGAACCATACATAGTTTTAAGAAGAGGTATGACAAAGCTCAGGAAGCAGAGAGAGAGAGGATCCAGTAGCGATCAGTGAAGAGGCGGGGCCAGGAGCTGAGTCTCGACCCCTGCAACCACAATTAGGTGAGTACAATTAGGTGAGTACAAGTGTGTGCACTGAATATAAAATAATAATAATAATAATAATAATAATACTATTACTGCTACTACTTCTACTATTACTACTACTACTACTACTACTACTACTACTACTACTACTAATAATAATAATAATAATAATAATAATAATAATAATAATAATAATAATTTATATATATTTTATATAAAACATTATAAATTACAAGGTGGTATAAAATATTAAATAACACCACAATACAGGATCTGAACAAGATTACCAATAATCACATCACGGGTGCAGAAGAAAAATTTGAAAACCTCATACAAAATAGGAATGTGTAACAAAAACATGATAGGGAGCCAAGGCCGGGTCACCACTACTTGGAAAAGACCCGGGCCGGGAGAATACCGGCGAATAAAAAAAAAAAAAAAAAAAAAAAAAAACTCAAAATACATACATACCATGCACTGACACACATTATATAAAATGATAAAATATTTGGCACATACACACAAAACTGTGGGGGGGGAGCCCCCCCATAAAACCTATCTATAAATACATCCACATCATTCGCACACTTAATGATCACAGCAGTGATCAAACATTAATTTATGTAACTGTTCTGATCTCTTCAGTAACATAACAATAGGTACTTACACAACAATGGTGATACAGGAACACCAAACGTCACAAAGACATACAAAATAACTGTAATGCCAATCTGTAAAAATAACTACATTTCCAATCTGTAAAAATAACTACATTTCCAATCTGTAAAAATAACTACATTTCCAATCTGTAAAAATAACTACATTTCCAATCTGTAAAAAATAACTACATTTCCAATCTGTAAAATAACTTAACTAAAAATCATTTCCAATCTGTAAAAATAACTACCATTTCAAATCTTAAAAAAATACTACATTTCCAATCTGTAAAAATAACTACATTTCCAATCTGTAAAAATAACTACATTTCCAATCTGTAAAAATAACTACATTTCCAATCTGTAAAAATAACTACATTTAAATCCTGTAAAAATAACTACATTTCCAATCTGTAAAAATAACTACATTTCCAATCTGTAAAAATAACTACATTTCCAATCTGTAAAAATAACTACATTTCCAATCTGTAAAAATAACTACATTTCCAATCTGTAAAAATAACTACATTTCCAATCTGTAAAATAACTACATTTCCAATCTGTAAAAATAACTACATTTCCAATCTGTAAAAATAACTACATTTCCAATCTGTAAAAATAACTACATTTCCAATCTGTAAAAATAACTACATTTCCAATCTGTAAAAATAACTACATTTCCAATCTGTAAAAATAACTACATTTGAAATCTGTAAAAATAACTACATTTCCAATCTGTAAAAATAACTACATTTCCAATCTGTATAAATAACTACATTTCCAATCTGTAAAAATAACTACATTTCCAATCTGTAAAATAACTACATTTCCAATCTGTAAAAATAACTACATTTCCAATCTGAAAAAATAACTACATTTCCAATCTGTATAAATAACTACATTTCCAATCTGTAAAAATAACTACATTTCCAATCTGTAAAAATAACTACATTTCCAATCTGTAAAAATAACTACA